CCCCCCCCCAGTAATCTGGTACGGGAGATCTGGGCTTGGCAACCTCCCAAACAGAAGTCTTTCGCTCGTCCTGCCCCTGCTGATTAGGTCTGCTGCCCTCCCTCGAGTGCCGCCACCCTCCCTCGAGTGCTGCCGCCGGCCAGAGGGTTTCCGCACCGACTGACCCACTTTGCCCGGCTGCTGCCTCGCCCAGCCGCCCATCGCCTTTCCCGGCCCCTGCTGGCGGAGCCTCCCAAGGGCTGGCAGGTCGCAGGAATCGGCTGCGCAGGGTAGGGGGGCTTTTGGCGGCGGGCGGGTGCAGTTTGGTGCCCCTAAGAGCCACCGCGCTCTAGGCGAACGCCTAGTTCACCTAGTGAGTGAGCCGGCCCTGATTGTGAGAAAGAGAGAAAAGTACTTCTTTCTGTACCTGCTCTATCCCATGCATAATCTTATAAACCTCGATCGTGTCACCCCTCAGCCGTCGTTTCTCCAAGCTAAAGAGCCCCAAGTGTTTTAACCTTTCTTCATAGAGAAAGTGTTCCAACCCTTTTATCATTCTAGTTGCCCTTTTCTGCACTTTTTCCAATGCTATAATATACTTTTTGAGGTGTGGTGACCACAGCTGTACAAAGTACTCCAAATGAGGTTGCACCATTGATTTATACAGGGGCATTATAATACTGGTCAATTTGTTTTCCATTCCCTTCCTAATAATCCCCAGCATAGTGTTGGCCTTTTTTTGGCCCTTCTGACCTCTTTCACTTCCTCTTTGTGGCTTGTGATTGTTTTTAGCATTAGTTTCACCAGATCATCTGTGGGATTCTGGAGAATTGTGTCTGCTTAGCATTGCTGCATCATCCATGGCTACCAAGGTTCCCATCCAGAATGTCCTGACTATTACAGTAGAAAAAAGCAAGAGTCCAGTAGCACGTTAAAGACTAACAAAGTATGTGGCAGGGTATGACCTTCACTGCTTGCTTCTTCAGGTACAGCTAGGGTGGGAATAAGAGTCCAGTATTCAATCCTGGATTGAATCAAGACCTAGGTTTCCTGTCTTATTACCAATGCTGATTTCTCCACGCCTGCTACCCTTACGAATAACTCACCTAATACAATCAACTCTGCTATTGTCATTCACCTGCTATTGTCGCTTGCCTGCTAATGTCCTTTGGCATCTGAAATCACCCCACTTTCCAGTATATAGGACAGATGGAATTGCATTTTAGCTGTATCTGAAGAAGTGAGCAGTGACTCATGAAAGCTCATCCTCTGCCACATTTTTTGTTAGTTGTTAAGGTGCTACTGGACTCTTGCTCTTTTCTACTGCTATGGAATAACATGGCTATCCATCTAGATCTATTATCTCACTGAATCAGTTTACTGGCAGATCTCCTTACCACATAAGAACATAAGAGAAGCCAATGTTGGATCAGGCCAGTGGCCCATCCAGTCCAACACTCTGTCACACAGTGCCCAAAAATACCAGGTGCCATCAGGAGGTCCATCAGTGGGGCCAGGAACCAGAAGTCTTCCCACTGTTGCCCCCCTCAAGTACCATGAATACAGAGCATCACTTGCCCCAGACCATGAGTTCCCATCTATATCTTGTGCCTAATAGCCACTGATGGCTCTTTGCTCCATATGCTTATCTTCTCCATATGCTTATCTCTCTTATGTTGTGAGCAGTCCAACTCTGTGTCACACAGTGGCCAAAAATACCAGGTGCCATCAGGAGGTCCACCAGTGGGGCCAGGACATTAGAAGCCCTCCCACTGTTGACCCCCAAGCACCAAGAAGACAGAGCATCACTTGCCCCAGATCTGATCTAGCAAAACATATCTGCTGTACTAAAGTAAGAACCTATTGAAGGTCACTTAATTCATGTCAGCTTTGCCTTATCTGTGAAGGGTAATAGAGGATATATTCAAGAAGTAAAAGTTTAAAATACACCGGAGAGGGGGGAGGGGGGGGGGGGGGGGGGAACCCTGAGGTAATCTGAAACGAAAGTCTACACACCCTTGTAGAAATGCTTATTGCTGCTATTTCATGATAATTTAAATGGCATTAAGGAAATGCTGTCACTCCCTTGCACTCTTCAACTTTTCAGTGGAAAACTTTTTTAAAAAACACCCTGATAAAGCAAACCTGATTAGACTTTCCCCCCCCCCCCCCCCCGAAAAACCACAGACTATAATTCTGTGGAACTTGCAAAAAAATATAGTGTTTTAGGAGGAACCTGGAAAATATCATGAGATGGATGTCAAAGAGATCCATGATTTCAAAATCAGGGGCGGGACCAAGATTCTGAAGTGAGCCTATAAAAGCAGGGACCATTGCTAGGATCGGCACTGCATCCTCTTGATCGACTGTTGCTTTCTCACTCTTCCTTGACAGAGGTAAGACCTTTCTGAGTTATCTTTGGTTTAGCATTGGTGCTGGGCAAGATTGTCCACCGATGTGGACATCCGTGTCCTGAGAAACGTTTGGATATTGCATGCGGCAGCAATGGGAGCACAGAGACGGGGGTTCCCTCTTCGAGAGGTATCGCCTATAAGGGCGCTTTTGTGCATACTAAATAATGCACTTTCAGTGCACTCTGCAACTGGATTTCACAGTGTGAGATGGCAAAATCCACTTGCAGACGGTCGCTGAATTGGATTGAAACGGCGTCATTTAGCACGTGTGAAAGTGCCCTTTGTGAACAGCAATGTGGTCACACACACACGATGTAATCCACTCCCCATCCACTTTCAATCAGCTTTCCAATTGGATTTTTGCCAGTTCACATGGTGATATCCAGTTGGAATGTGTAATGTACTGCCGCCATTTCCACGTGTAATGCATTCAGCCGGACATGCCCGGACTTGCCCGGGCTGGCCAGGCACAAGTTACCGGTAGCTTCGGTCGAAAGACAAAGGATCCGAAGGATCCTAGCCGGCCCAATCAAAAGGGCTAGCTTCCCAGCCGGGAGACCAATGGTCGCCCGGTTACTGTAAATAGCCTATCGGGAGTAGGGGGTGTGTTTAGGTGTACTTGGTGGCGGGTTTTCTGAACGCATATAAACCGGCCTGCGAGCTGGGTTCCTTGTCTTGTTCTTCACTAAATAAAGTACTCTTGCTGAAATCACTCTTCGTTCTGAGTACTTTTCAGCATGAGTGCTGAAAGTGGATTGAAAGTGGATGAGTACAGACAGAGGTCCTTTCCACATCTGTCGGCCACTCTGGATTTTCTCAGGGCGATTTCTCACTAGAGCTGCCTCGTAGAACAGCGCCGTTTGCCCCAACACAAACATGTCAATTTCCCACCCGAGGCTGAGGGGCTGCATTTGACTAAGGGCTTCGCCCAATTTCCTCCACAGTTTCATGATCCTCAAAAACCAGGATCACGAAACTGTGGAGGAAATTGGGCGAAGCCCTGAGTCAAAATGCAGCCCCGGAGCTTCGGGTGTGAAATTGACATGTTTGTGTTGGGGCAAACGGCGGCTGCGCTGCGAGACAGCTCTAGTGAGAAATCGCCCTCAGTGTCTGAGTCGAGGCAATTTAAATCCAGGGCAAAACAGCATCCAACAGCAGGTTGAAACCGGGCTGACCACCGAAGGGTGGTGATGTAATGCAGAATGGGAGGGGGGAACCCAGAATGAAAAGAAGGTTGAACTCGATTATAGTGCAGATTGGGAAACACAACATGGATTAAAAAGAAGGATGCATTCAATTCCTGGTGATGCCTGGCCCAAAGGACGCCCGTCTTGCCTCGGACAGGGCCAGGGCTTTCTCTGTCCTGGTCCCGGCCTGGTGGAACATGCTCCCTATTGAGACCTGGGCCCTGCAGGATCTCCTTCAATTTTGCAGGGCCTGCGAGACGGAGCTCTTCCGCCAGGCCTTTGGCTGAGGCCGCGGGCACCAGTCTATGGCCTCCCTGAGGTTGTTGTCACCCATCTGTCACCTGTCTACTGAGCACCGACAACTGGCCTTTAACTCATTGTACCATCGGGCCAGTACTTTAAAGCCAACTGACGCCATTCCAAGCAGTACCCATTGACTCTGCAGTCCGTACGGCATTGGCCCGGGGTAATTGAATGTGGTTTTGAGCCACATCTTTTCCTGTTCCAGTGTGGGTTTGGTAAAACAGCGGAGCGAATGCTGGATGCAAGAAGGGGCCTTAGGCTGCAGTCGCACACACTAAATAATCCACTTTCAATCCACTTTCCACCCGGATTCTGCTATTTCACAGTGTAAAAAATCCAGTTGGGAAAGTGCACTGAAAGTGGATTGAAAGTGGGTTCTTCAGTGTGTCTCTGTGACTGCAGCTGCTGAAGCCATTACATGTAGCCAGCCTATGTTTCTTGGGAAAGTTTTTTGGGGAAAGAGGTATTTCACATTTGTGGGGATGAGCAGAAGAAGAAGAAGAGACTGGATTTATCCCCCGCCCTTCACTACCCAAAGGAGTCTCAGAGCGGCTTACAAACTTCTTTCCCTTTCCCTCCCCACAACAGACACCCTGTGAGGTAGGTGGGGCTGAGAGAGCTCTGACAGAAACTGCTCTTTTTCAAGAACAGCTCTTATCAGAACTATGGCTTGCCCAAGGTCATCCAGCAGGTGCAAGTGGAGGGGTGGGGAATCAAACCCGGTTCTCCCAGATTAGCGTCCACGCACTTAACCACTACACCAAACTGGCTCCCTTGAAGTCTTTTGAAAGGGACATGCCGCTGCTCTCCCTCTCCCACTGAACTGGATATTGTCTCCATAGATCAGAAGCAGACTCAAGATGCCTCTGACTGAGATGGAACAATGCATCCAGACCATCCTGAAGCACTTCCATGAGTCCGCAGGCAAAGAGGGCAACTATGATACCCTCAACAAAGCTGAGCTGAAAGGGTTCATCACCAAGAACTTCCCAAACTACATGAAGGTAAGAGACTCATTCTATATCCAGGAGTGGGCATTAGGTCTGTTTGAGGTGGAGTTGGAATAGGGAAGGGGGAAAGGCAATGATGTTGGGATGAAAAGGACGATTCTACAACAGCTGGGACACTAACAGGGCAGTCCTAAGCAGAAAGACCTGGCCCCACTAATGGACCTTCTGATGGCACCTGGTATTTTTGGCCACTTTGTGGAAGAGTGTTGGACTGGATGGGCCACTGGCCTGATCCAACATTGGCTTCTCTTATGTTCTTAATACAACCTTCATAGGCCACTGAATCCAATGGTCTTAGAACATAAGAAAAGTCCTGCTGGATAACACCGGTGGTCTATAAAGTCCAGAATCCTGTTTTACCTGAGGGCCATCCAGTCACCCTGGATAGCCAACAGACCAGGTATCGGTCCCAAGGTAGGTATCTCTGATGTTGCTTCTTAGCACTAATATTGAGAAGTTTATCGCTTCTGAATATGGTGGGTCCCTTTGATAAACCATAGTCATGGAACCATCAGCCGCAAAGACTGATTGTGCCATCCCACACAGAGTTCTACCCTCCTTATGTTTTTATCTCTGAAAATGCATATCTAAAGGGACACTGGAAGGAGTTTGGAATCGTCTTAGGTTCCTACTTCCATCTCTGAACTGATGGAGGGAATCTAATTTGGAATACTGTGTGCAGTTCTGGTCACCACACCTTAAAAAGGATATTCTAGCTTTAGAAAAAGTGCAGAAAAGGGCAACTCGAATGATAAAAGGGTTGGAACACTTTCCCTAAGAGGAAAAGGTTAAAGCGCTTAGGGCTCTTTATCTTGGAGAAACGACGGCTGAGGGGAGACATGATTGAGGTTTCTAAGATTATGCATGGGATAGAGCAGGTAGAGACAGAGGTACTTTTCTCCCTTTCTCACAATACAAGAACTCGTGGGCACTCCATGAAATTGCTGAGTGGTCGGGTTAGAACGGATAAAACGAAGTACTTCTTCACCCAAAGAGCGATTAACACTTGGAATTCACTGCCACAGGAAGTGGTGGCGGCTACAAGCATGGACGGCTTCAAAAGGGAATTAGATAGGCATATGGAGCAGAGGTCCATCAGTGGCTATTAGCCACAAGGCATAGATAGGGGCTCTGGGGCAAGTGATGCTCTGTCTTCTTGGTGCTTGGGGGGGGAGCAACAGTGGGAGGGCTTCTAGGGTCCTGGCCCCTCTGGTGGACCTCCTGATGGCACCTGGTATTTCTGGCCACTGTGTGACACAGAGTGTTGGACTGGATGGGCCTTTGGCCTGATCCAACATTGGCGTTTCTTATGTTCTTATGTTAATAGGATTTGGGTACCTGAGCCCTTCACTATGACCATCCTTTGTTTTCATTACCCCCCCCCCCACAGAAAGTGACGGACCCTAGCATACTCGATAATGTGTTTGAACAGATGGACACCAACAAGGACCAGGAGATCAGCTTTGGGGAAATCATGCAGTTCGTCACCATCGTGGCCATTCTGAGCCATGACCGCCTCCATGGGGGAAGTGAGTCTTCTGCTCAGTGAGGCCAGTAGTCCCAGCAAACGTCTATGGTACAAGCCCAGTGCAGGGATTCCCCTCGACTTCCTTGTTTGACGCTGCCACTGGAAGACAATAAAGATTGGATGTAAAGTTGTTCAGATGGTGGTCTTCTTCCTTTATCGGGGATTCGTTTGGCAACTGGTTACCTGGCTAAATGTTGGTTTATCGAACTCATCCTCTTTAGGGCTCAGAGTGGGCTGTATCCCTGATATAGTGTGTCTCTTATTCAACTGAAAATAAGCCCAGAGATCAAAAGGGGGGGAAGAAGAAAAAAAAGTTGTTTTCATCCGGATTAGAATCCTAGAATCACAGAGTTGGAAGGGTCACTACAGGCCATCTAGCCCAACCCCCTGCTCAATGCAGGATCAGGCTAGAGCATCCCCAACAAGTGTTTGCCCAGTCACTGCTTAAAGACCTACAGTGAGGGGGAGTTCACCACCTCCCTAGGCAGCTGATTCCACTGTTGCACAACTCTTACTGTGAAAAAGTTTTCCCTAATATCCAGCCGGTACCTTTCTGTCCCTAATTTAAACCCATTCTTGAGAGTCCTATCCTCTGATACCAACAGGAACAGCTCCCTGCCCTCCTCTAAGGGACAGCATTTGAAATACTTCAAGAGAGCAATCATGTCTCCCCTCAACCTCCTCTTCTCCAGACTGAACATTCTCCAGGCCCTCAGCCTTTCCTCATAGGGCTTAGTCTCCAGGCCCTTGATCATCCTCATCACTCCCCTCTGTACCTGCTCAGTTCTGTCCACATCCTTTTTGAAGTGAGGCCTCCAGAACTACATTAGACCTCTTTAAACACCATGGGGGGGGGGATATTCTTCAGCTCAAACCCTCTACCTCACCTTGATAACCAATAGGGTCACCAGCTACAGGATAAGAAATTGCTTTAGGCTGTTGCTAGGCAACCAAGCTTGGTTCTGTCAGTAAAAAGGCAAAGGCAGGAGGCCCATTCCAGGCCTACTTTGGCCTTGGTGGAGAACTCATTGGGGCCAGTCCTGACTAAGGTTGCCAGCTCCAGGTTGGGAAATTCCTGGATATTTGTGGTGGAGTCTACAGAAGACAAATTTTGGGAAGTGGTGGGACCTCAGACAGATACAATGCCGAAGACTCTACCCTTTAAAGTGTTTCCCCCCCCTCCTGGGGAACCATTGCTACCAACCTCCAGGTGACTGCTGGAGATCACTCAGAATTAAAACTGCTCTCTAGATGGCGGAGATCAGTTCCCCTGGAAAAAATGGCTGCTTTGCAGGTTGGACTCTGTATCATTATATTCTGTTGAGGTCACTTCCCTACTGCTTGGTTCTCCACTACGAAGAAGAACTGTACTTTTCCTAGGCAGAGGCTGTGGGGGGGGGGGGGGAATAGAAAGCTGAAGTCAAGGGCAGATAAAGGTAAATTGATGGTTGGCTGGGAAGGAGATAGGGTTGCCACTTCTAAATTGGGAAATTTCTGGAGATTTGAGGGTTGGCGCCTGAAGAGTGTGGGGGCTGAGGAGTGGTGGAACCTCAGAAAGGTACAATGCCATAGACTCCACCCTCCAAAACAGCCATTTCCTCCTGGGGAACTATTGTTGCCAATCTCCATGTGAGGGCTGGAGATCAGTTAGAATTACAACTGCTCTCCAGATGGCAAAGGTCAGTTCCCCTGGAGAAAATGGTGAGACCTGTGTCATTACACCCTGCTGAGGTCACCACAGCAAAGCCCAGGGCACTCACCCAGAGTTTCTTTCTATATCCCATTGTATTTATTTCCACAACAGGCCATGTAAGGCTTTGAAGGTTGTTACAGACAATAGTTAGCATTACAGGGGAGAAAGGCAGTAAAAGGCACCACCTGGTGGTATCTTGAAACATCTGCAGAGCTTCTGAACTCCCTATTGAATCCACTCTGTTAGCCCTGATGAGGGCCAGTGCAGTGTATTGGTTAGGAGTGGCAGACTCTTATCTGGAGAACCAGATTTGATTCCCCACTCCTCCTACACATGAAGTCTGCTGGGTGACCTGGGGCCAGTCTCAGTTCTCTCAGGAATCTTTTAGCCCCACTTATCTCACAAGGTGCATGTTGTGGGGAGAGGAAGGGAAGGTGATTTTAAGATGTTTTGAGACTCCTTTGGGTGGAGAAAAGTGGGGCATAAAAACCAACTCTTCTCCTTCTCCTTCTGATCAGTGAACTTTTAAACACCAAGAAGGGCAAGGGTAGCACACTGAGGATGTTGCTGGACTCCTCCATGTAATTTGTCCACATCCTTGGGCTCTACTGGAGAGCCAGTTTGATGTAGTGATTAAGTGCACGGACTCTAATCTGGGAGAACTGGGATTGAGTCCCCACTCCTCCACTTGCACCTGCTGGATGGCTTTGGGCAAGCCATAGTTCTGGCACAGCTGTTCTTGAAAAAGAGCAGTTTCTGTCAGACCTCCCTCACAGGGTGTCTGTTGTGGGGAGGGGAAGGGAAAGGAGTTTGTAAGCCACTCTGAGACTCCTTTGGGCAGTGAAGGGCGGGGTATAAACACGATCTCTTCTTCTCTTCTTCTTCTACAAATGGAAAGTTATTTGACAGAGCACTGAGAGCATTCTGTAACACCACCAGAATACTATAGTCCCAGTCCAGGTAGATGAGATCATAAGAAAAAACCTGTTGGATCAGACCAATGGTCCACCTAGTCCAGCATGCTTTCTCAGATAGCAGCAAACCAGTTCCTCTGGAGGTCCAACAGCAGGTCATAGAGGCTGAGGCCTTCCCCTGTTGTTGCCTCCTGATACTGGGATTCAGAAGTTGATTGCCTTTGAAGGCAGAGCTTCCCTTTAGTCACCATGGCTAGTAGCCACTGATAGACCTACCCTCCATGAATCTCTTCAGTTCCCCCTTTTAAAGCCATCTCTTCCTGTGGACATCACTGCATCTTCTGTCAGTGCCTGTCACTGCATCTTCTGATCATGCCCTGCATAAAGAAGTATTTCCTGTTGTTTACCCCGAAAACAATTTCATCTGCTAAATGCCTCACAAGAACGTCACAGGTGTAACAAATGAACACCCCTTTCTGCTGTCTGGAGGAAGGAAAGGCCAGTGACATTCACAGAACATTCCTTAGGTGAGAAACAGAACATAAAACAGCTAAAAGATAGTCAGTCCAACCCAGTCTTCTCTGGTAGAGGCCAGCTACTCCAAGGCAATATGTACACACTGGTATAGCAAAGTCATTTCTGGAAAAAAAATATTTGCAATAGCCGTGGGGGCCCATTCAAAATGGCCTGAGGTGTTTTTGCAGGCAATTAAAATTCTCCAGATCCTGTTTGCCAGGCTGGGTCCCTCAGACCAAACTCTAAGGGGCAATGACTCAAAGCCTGAATGACATCCGTTGTGCCATCTATGTACCGTATTATCCATATTATGCAGCCACCAAGAAGTCGGTGGGAAGATTTGTCCGAACTTACACACATGGACTGAATTAGAGGATCAGTCCTTCAAGGTCAGTATTGTCCACTCAAACTGGTGGTGTCTTTCCAGGGTCTCAGGCCAGAGGTCTTTCACATCACCTCCTATAATGATCCCTTTTAGAAACTAGGACCTTCTGCGTGCCAAGCAGATACTCTACCCCAAGCCACGTCCCTTCCATTCTGAAGTCCAAAGTCAATGGCAGGTGACCACTGACCCTTCCAACAAAAAACTGGCATGCTTCTAACTGGCATGCAGGAGCACAGTTCATGCCACCACTGGTCAGTCCCTTGAAATGCTGTTGGTGGGCAGAAGTCTCGGACTCACGTTTGGATTTCTTGAAGCGACATTTCTGCCTGTGAGTCATCCATCAACACATTAGGCAAGCGTTCGCCAGAGGATGTGGGCCGCTTTGTCAGCCGCAAACGGCCCGATTGTGTTGGCAGACAATTGCAAGAGACTCGATAAATGGGGTCCTGTTGTCGTCCTTACCCACACGGTTCCTTTAAGAAGATAAGAACATAACAATGTTGGATCAGGCCAATGGCCCATCCAGTCCAACACTCTGTATCACACAGTGGCCAGAAATACCAGTGCCATCAGGAGGTCCACCAGTGGGGCCAGGACATTAGAAGCCCTCCCACTGTTGACCCCCCCCCCAAGCACCAAGAAGACAGAGCATCACTTGCCCCAGAGCCCCTAGCTATAACTTGTGGCTAATAGCCTTTGCCTTAACCTGTCCCAGTATCACCTGGTAAGATGGGGTGGCATCACTTTGATCAGCTGTGGGACTTGAAGGTGACCCCAGTCGGAAGGGGCCATACAGGCCACCTAGTTCAACTCTCTGTTCAATGCAGGATCAGCCCAGAGCATCCCTGACAAGTGTTTGTCCAGCCGCAGCTTAAAGACTGCCAGGGAGGGGGAGCTCGCCACCTCCCTAGGCAGCTGGGCTAAAATGCCTGCTCTGGATCTTTCCGAGAGCAATGGACTGTACCTTCAGAAATAATGTTTATAGGCTCTGGCCTCTCTTCTCCCTATTGTTACACTGTGCCGGGACACTGGGGCATGGTTTTTCAGAAGGCCATCTTGTTTTAAGGGTGAGTGATTTGATTGTATTAGAGTTGGGTTTATTGCTGTGAGTTTTATATATTGTAACCTGCCCTGAGCCCGCACGCGGGAGGGGCCTAACGGACTGCTGAAACAACACACTCAAGAAAATCCTGTCGCATCATCGTCAGCATCATAGATGGAAGAGGGGTCCAATCCATGTGTACCAGGCAGTGGTTTTGTTGAGCGAGAAGCTGACCATGCGGTTTCTGGTGTATCGAAGCTGGAAAGTTGCACACACATTCCACAGGGAACACAAGAATAGGTGGGATATACAGTGAAAACTGAATCATCAAAAAGCGACTGCACTGTATATAATTGCAATGAAGAACATTTTGTTAGGGGTTTTTTAATATTTACTTCTGTTCTTCATTGTAATTATACAGCACAGTTGCTATTTGGTGTAGTGGTTAAGTGTGCGGACTCTAATCTGGGAGAACCAGGTTTGATTCCCCACTCCTCGTCTTGCAGCTGCTGGATGACCTTGGGCAAGCCGTAGTTTTGATCAGAGCTGTCCTTGAAAAACAGCCGTTTCTGTCAGAGCCCTGTCAGCCCCACCTACCTCACAGGGTGTCTGTTGTGGGGAGGGGAAGGGGAAGTAGATTGTAAGCTGCTCTGAGACTCCTTCGGGTAGTGAAGGGCGGGGTATAAATCCAATCTCCTCCTCCTCCTCCTCCTCCTCCTCCTCCTTCTT